ATGCACAATATATTATACAATAACAGGAAAATCTTTCTAGATTGTGACGTAGTACTCGTGAATGAATCATTTACATCATTTTTGTGTCGAGTGACGGTGTTTATGAGTATTATATGACAATAATATAAATCATTATAAGTGCTATCAGATGTATGCATGAATTAGGTGAAGTCGAATACACGAAAAAGAGAGTCTCAATGCATACAAATGAAAGACAGCCAATGATTCGAGTAGAATTCAAATGTTAAGTACTTATTGCAGTTCTCTGATAAAGATAAAATACAAAAGATTAATTACTGAAACAATTATGAACTCTTATACCACCAAAGAAAAAAAGTACATTAAAATCATTAAAATATTTTAATTTTATTTTTCAAGAATAAAATAGTCACAGCGTTCTGTCAGTTATTTTTACAATTATTTCATTCGCTGAATTTGGTTAATTAACTTTATTTTGCGCTTTCAAATAAATTTTATTATTAATGAATATTTCAAAATATATTTCAATAATTTTTAAATGTAATGATTTCTGAACGTAATGAGATAAATTTTTTTTTTATTTATTTAATTTTATTTTTTGGTTTTTTATTGATTTGTGGTTTTTTGCATTTAAAATCAAAATGCAAACAAAATTTAAATTTAAAAAACCATAAACTCTATTTTGTGGACAGTATTTATTTACCAATGCTAACCTATTTATACATTCGTACATAACTATAACATATATATATAAATATAAAATATTTTGCAATATCAAGAGATTCAAAATTCAATTCAATTTACAAAGAGAAAGCAGATTTCATTTTATTGAATTGAATTAAATAATAAAAAATAATAATATAATTAAATAAAATGATTATGCATAAAATTGCTGAGTTCAATTTTAGTAACATTTCACATTACAAATACGTACAGTTTACATACATGCTTTTCCCTGCCACATATTTTATCCCTTCCACATACTCGTATTTTAGTCCTTCACATATCCATAGATACAAGTTCTATAAAAGCCTTTACACGTAATCAATTTGCAATATGTTTACGTGTATTAATTATTATTCATATGCAGTATATTCGTTTATGAGTATATGAGTTTCATATCCGGATTAAATGTAATCGTTTCCCAAATTTATTTGAAATACTTTTTACCTTCTCCAGTGAGCAGCATTTCAGTTACGGATGAATGTAGTCCAGTGGAAACCGGACTAACAGAAGCATTAAGAACACACTGTGAATGTCTCATAAGAATTTCGTTCCTAATTATAAATAAGGACATTGAATCAATTTATTAAATTTTAAAATAACCAATTAGTGCATTTTGCATACAGTTCAAAATTTTATCAAATAAATTACTACAATTAGCAATTAGGAGCAATGAAGCCTAAATATATGCTATGATTTGTTGAGAAATACTCACAGGAGATTTGTAGTCATTTACATTAAATTTTTAATATGAATTTTAATAGGTCTTCGTCTTACGTCAAACTAACTTAATTATACTAATATAATAATGTATTTATGCTGTATAGCGCAAATATGAAATCTAAGGTCTTAAGACCTCATTTGACATTTTTTATTTGTAATATGTTGTATGCTCTTTAATTAAGTTCATATGACGACATAAAGGATTGATTTCAAAGTCGTAACGTAAATACCAATATAACTGTAGTCATGCTTACTTAAGTCATCAATTCTGCTGACTTAATACATCCTCAAGTCATCAATTTTGCTGACTAAATACATGCTCAAATTACAAACTTTGGTGATTGTAAAATCGACCTGAAGTGAACTATATATATAAATAAATACCTAGCTTCTTTTAATTACATCATTTCTAAAACTTTTACAATCGCGAAGCCTCCTTGAAATTGGAAATTCGACGCTGTATACTAAATTGCAGTTACATACCTAATTTAAATCTAAGGTAGATGAAGATTCTTGCCAGATCACAAGACACAGCTAAGCCAAATTGGACAAACCTTGTAACAGTCAGCTGCTGTACTGAAATGGAACCAATAGAGTACTACAGTATCAGTGCTACGATATCACTATGTAGGAAGAGGAGTAATAAGACTCAGTTCATCTTCTAAAGACTTTTTTCAGCGCTGTGGCTCTGCATACGAGGAAGATGCAGAGGGGCTCAAAATCTCCGGCCCCCTTTCTTTTTAAATTAAGGACATCTATTTGAATTGTGGTCAGGTGTTCTCAAAGAAAGTCGTACGTGCTGTATATTTAGAAATTTTTCCATTAAGGTGGCTCTGCAGGTCGAATGTACGGGCGGTTTCTCATCCGTGGTATCACAGCAGACCATTGTAAGTGCTTAAGTGAATGCATAAGGCGGCTACTCCAACCTAAACTAATCTATATACCTAATAGTGCTATCTTTTTGCTGAATACTTGTGTATTTTGCGTACAACTAAATATTCACGTTAAATAGCTTTGAAACTCTGATTAACATTAAAATATACATTGAAAATTAATTAAAAAAAGTTCGATTTGTAATTTAAGCATACACCATAATCATATGTTGCTAACCATCTTACCAGACATTGACATATTCAATACTTTTCTTATTTATTCTACTATATGATACAATATGGCTGTCATAATCTTTAACCACAATTATAACTATAGTTTTTCGTACATTAATCTTCAATCCAGTTGTCAGTTAAATTAATATTAATCACAATATTCTAATGCAGATGTCTGAAGACTAGCCTAAATCCATATCGTAAATATGTTTGAACAGAGTCGTTCGGTTAATTGTTTTATTCTTAGAAATGAGAGATAGGTTTCGAATAGTAGTGAACTACAACAACAAAAATTATTTTTATATTATTTTAATTAATTGTATTTTTGGCTGACCATACAACTGTTTCGAGTAACATCAGTGATGTATCATCTAATACTAAAATTTAAACTATTGGTAGAATTATAGAGTTTTTTCATTATTGGTTTCTCACAGTTTTCCCACTATTGATTTAAAACTAAGTGACAGCACTCATTATTTAAACTTCCATATTTGAACCAATTATAAATAAGTTTGATAATATTCATGCATTTATAATGCATACAATTTATTTCTAATGTGCTCCAAAGGTGACGTCTATTAATGCTATCAAATGCTTTTTTGTATATCAATAAACTTTCTTTAAATAAATCAGCATTGCATCTAAATAATCCAAATTGAATTTATATTTTGTCTGCAGATATTTATTAAAATTTTAGCAAAGTAAAAAAACTTGACTGATTTTTTATTGATGACTTATAGGATCAGTTGTTGATGGTAAAAACATCTGAAGGATGTATTAACTCATAGTTAAAATTCACGTGGAATACTGACAATTTGCATTTATTATCGCACTATCGTACATTTTTCTAAATAATTTCTTTGCATAAAACTAACTATAATTATTTAAACAATAATCTTTTTTTATAATTTTGGCAATTTTTAAAAGAAAAAATAAATTTTCTATGCTTAACCTGATATACTTAAACATTATAATTTCAATCATTTCTATGACTCAAAAACTCTTCTATATGGTGTACTTAAACAACAATATTTTACTACAATAAACAAATTTTAAATAAAAAAAAAAATTTAGTAATGTTAATATAGTTAATAAAGCAACAGCTATGCTGAAGTGAGGCTATCTTCGTTGCTCTGTTAGTAATAAATAAAATTAATATGAAATTTTTGTAGCAAACACATTTTTTATATAAATTCCGACTACAATATAGAAGAATAAATGGAAACTCTATAGAAAAAATCATTTCCAAAATGGAGACACTTTATGCAAAAGTGAAGTGTATAAATTACACTTCATCATGAATTTATTATTTAATCCAAAGTCCATGCTAACGTTCCCTTATTCGCTTCTCATTTAAGGTGGCCGCCAGTACTACTGGGGCAGTGCTGTTGCGTATCCGTGGATGAGCCTGTTCACATGCCTGTTTTAGCGCACAGCTTCCATCGTCCTTTATTGCTAGTTTAACTGAAAATTCATGAATGTCCTTTTCCGTTTCAACGAAGCATCAGTTTTTTTAACTATAAAATGCAAGTTAAGCACGTTTTTTAACTGAGTTTAATTTTTTAAAATTAAAAGTAACTTCGCTAGTTAAAGGAGTGGATTGAATATCTGCACTACAATTCAAAACGGAATTTATCTAAGTTCATTATTTGAATAACTGCATATATTTGTAAGATAGCTTATTTTCATCTGACAACGTTTTTATTATGGAACATACTTCTATTTTTATTGTAAGTATAATAATAAAGAAAAAACGTGTCAGAAAAATTCCTCTTTAAATTATTTATTTATTACTTAAGGTAAATTAGAATTTATTTCATAGGAAACAAGACCTAAATTGCCACTAGTGTATTATTGTAATGTTTTCCAGACAGAGTTGCTGCTTTTTACGTCGAAATTAAATTAGTTCTCCAGCTGATATATGGGTATGTTTATATCATTGAAAAGCTGTAACGGAATGTTGCAAATCTGTAAAGATCGATAGACCTGTTTGCTCTATATTTACACTTCCATATACATCAATATATCTTTAATGCAAACTACACAATAGTTTCTCGGTATCTCTAAACAAAATTCCTTTTAGATAGGTTATTATAAAAGATCTTCGTAGTATTTTGGATCATCTTAGAGTCTAGGTGAGCTAGACTTAGGCTCTAAGTATAAATTATTTGCATTTTGTAATAATAATATGTAATAATATATAAAGTAGTAACTCCTGATGGGTCTATGAATCAAATCTTAAACAAGACTTTAGATCAATCTTGCAGATCTTATTAGTGTGATTTCAAGGAATTTCCTAATATGTAGACCCGTTTACCTAAAGTCTATAAATTATGTTTAAAAAAATAAAACATTATTCACTTACTATATTAATATTTAAAAAGATTGAAGCACAATTTATTGTATGGATTTTAAACTATTTTATTTTTAAATGTTTATAAAAAAAGATTTCATATTAAAATACCATATATTTATTCATTTTCATCTACAGTGTTAGGCTATACTTGTTAGAGGCTTATATTGTATTCAACATATTACATATCAAAATATTTGGGAAAACATATTTTCCTGAAAATAAGAGAATAACAAATTAATTATCTTTAAAATTAATCCCCTTAAAATATAAACTAGATCAACTCACCAATTGAGAATGCACTTTTATTAATTTCCAATTCCCATATTCTACGTAAATTTTGTAAGTTAGGTGTTCTAAAATCTTATAAAAAAATCAAAAATTGAGTAGATATTCGATAATATCTAAAAACTTACTTCGAACTTACAAGATGTGTATAAAAAAATTTGTTTGTATCGAGATTGAACTATTCAAATATGACTTTAAGCTTAGGAGGATTCCGCATCTTTAGAAGGCATCACAATGGTGTTTGATTGCCAAACTCAGAATGGAGTTTGATTTCCAAAATTACTGTTCTGTTCGCAATCTTCTATCTGCTTCCAATATGGAAAAGTTGAACGTATGTACAAAGACACCAAGAGATCTACGCCCGGCCAGATCTTCACGCTCCTTAAGTAAGTTAGTAAATCGTCCGGTTTGTAAAACTCGTACGAATTCTTCGTTTCTCTTGGAAATAAAAAAAATTAAATTTTTTCTATGCAATATCACACA